GTTTTTATACATTGATTATTTGATACACATATGCAATCAACGAAGGTGATGTTTACATATTTTCTTTAAAAGGTCCTTATCTTCCTTTACCTCCCATTTCTTTGTCTTTTGCCTCTTTTCTTTCTACGCCAAAGCTAGTGTTCTAAATTTACTCTGAATAATAAAGAAAATGAGTGGTGTGTGAGCTTTCATATATTCTTCTTTGCATAGCACAACATTTGATAATACAAAAAGTTTTCTGCTAAGTATACAGAGCTGACAGCATTACTCAATTAGCAGAATTAAAAATTGTTTTCTTGGACCTTAAAGGCTTACCAAAATCTTGCAGACACTAGAATTCGCGAACAACAAATCTCTTTAATCTCAAATGGACTTCACGGAGAGGGAATTAGCTTGCTTGTTATTCTTCACGGGGCCTCATTACCTACGCCTACATTCGACATTAATAACAGAAACCAAATTACTGACTCCCACTTTCATATAATTTTATAACTGCCATAATCTTTAACAGTCAGCTGATTGGAAACGTGACCGTCGTCAGATAGTAACGTAAGTGAAATTGACTCGGAAAAATTGTTAGAGGTTGATGAAAAAACTGCGTTATTTTTTTAAAGAAATGTTACTTATTATAGTCCTTCTACTGTACTAACCCTTTAACATGTACAAAATACTAAAACAAAATTCCCGAACCACATATATATTTATGGGTTTCTGTGAAGGAGTCACTGTGCGATACCCTCTAACAGTAAATTCTCCCAACCATTTTGAATTTTCCCAACCGTTTTGTCCATGAAAATAAGACATACGACGGGCTTTCAAAAATATTTCAACGCTTAGATGTCTGGAATGGTATATAGAGCCTGAGAGCTAATCTATTACTTTATGCCCATGTACATTCACCTAAAATGTAATTAAATTGTAATAATATCGTTGCGAGAATTAAAGAATCGATCAGATCAGTTTTCCCATTTTTTATCATCAATAATGGTCTGTTTTAACTCAAACCTTTACATTATGTTTAATTATACATCTTGAATTGAGGTAACTACTTTAGCACCATTTTCTCTCATCTGAACAATGCTACCAAGTCCCTTTAATGAAAAATTACTTCAAGAGGTCTGTCTGAGCTAGACTCATTAGACTCATCAATCAAGACAATCGCCAGTGTAGAATTCTATGTTGATATTTACAGCGTTCATTGTATAGTTGCAAGCATCGACAGTCTTGGTCTCACATTTGTTAAAGCAGTATTAGTACATGCTTTGAAGAAGGAAAGCATACTTTCTTCTTTGCAAGTATTTTCATAATCACCTAACTTTATTATTGATTATTTTCACTTAAAGATAAACTCCAGTTCTGGTAAAAAAAAAAAATTAATTCTCACAGAATCAAACGAAACTTACACTGAATGTTCAAGATTACAAATAAATGACATGTGCCAAACAATTTTGGAAGAAAATGTATACTGGCTGAGTAATGAGCATAGAAAGACAAGGAATCGAGGTAGTACTAGCCCCGACACCATGTGTGTTGTCCCATATATAGCTTTCTGTGTACAGTGCTTGTTACTTTACCAAGACTCGGTCAAATTTATCATGATTTTGATGACTCCAGAACCTTGCAGTGCACACCAATACTTACATGCTACATGATCAACTGTTTCTGATCCTTTCCACACCTTTTCTTCACAACGAATCGCATTACCAGTATTAAAGTTTATCTTTAATCTCGTAGAGATTTGTTTCTATTCCATATTTCTCTTCCTAATGACCTGCAGGGATTACCAATGGTTTGAAAATTCAAGAATAAACGTTTGGCACTCATTAGAGAAACCCTTCTAAGAGCATGTATTTTAAAATCTTTTTTTTTCCATCACATATTTATAGAGTACTTTTATTTGTATTCATGCAATCAACTCTCAATTTATACAATCAACCACGTGTATGGTCACGCGAGAAACATACTAAAAGTATTAAACAAGGAAATAATCATGAAAATGAGAAAGCTCCTATATATAACGGAAAGGGGAAAGCACACCAGATAAGACGTAATGCGATATAAATAAATACAGCCTGATTCTTTATTTACATTTTATATCTAATGCCATTTCTGGCAGTTCTAAAAAAGATGGAATTAATTAGGTGCGCCAGAAATGTAAGAATTATCATCACCATCACTACACTACTCCAGTATATATTTAGTTAAAAATTCTGATCAATTTACAAATATAATAATGATAATCAAAAAGTCAAATAAAGATACACGAGAGATGCTCTGATTACATTTTGTTGTAGTAGAATAGTCAGAAATGAAATGTAGAATTCATCCTCAATAAGCAATTAAAGGGTAAATAAAGACAATTTGTGTTATATATATCTGAAAACATGCCTACAACTATTGTTAAATGCATTTTCATGGGAATAATGATATTGGACAGTGTTATAAGCGTTTTAAATAATTAAAACATGTTCACTTTCATGTTACCCGCTCATTTCAATTCTACTTCAAAACTTCCTTATTTTGTTTTGCAGTTCTCGTTACCCCCTTCGCTTTGACAAAATTTTATTTTATTCCAAAAAATATGAATTCTGTCATAGTTTTTAAGTGTACGTTAATGAACCTGCCACTCGCTTTGCATACATTTCGGTGTGGTATTCTCACCCCCCCCCCCCTCTCTCTCTCTCTCTCTCTGTCCCCCTCTCTCTCAATCAATCACTCACTTACTCTCCTTCCACCTCTCTTTGTATCTCTGTCTCTGATTCTCCTTTTGTCACTTCATGTTTCTCATGATGTTTGTTTTATTATTTTCTCTCTCTCTCTCTCTCTCTCTCTCTCTCTCTCTCTCTCACCATTCACTCCCTCTTTCTTTTTGCCAATCTCTGATTCTCTCTACATCTTTATGTTTTTTGTAATATTTTTCCCCAGTTTTTATCCCCCCCCCCCTCTCTCTCTTTCTGCCTATCTGTGAGGCTTTCGTCTCTCATAGTCTTGTTCCACCTTTTCCTCTCTCTCTCTCTCTCTCTGTCTCTATCTCTTATTCTCAGTGTTCCAGTTTCATTTTCCTTGACTTCGTTCTCCCTCAAGAGTACATGAGACTGATAGGAGTCCGCTTGATGTATTACCAGCTTGAATTCATCATACCTATCGTCGTCAGGGATGATGAAAACCAATCAATAAGGCTTTACTTTGTGCATCAACACTGTTACCTAGACGTACATAGGCATGTACTATGTGAGCACAGGTAATCAATGTCTTGAACACGGAGGGATATGGCACCCCACGACATCATAGCACTCACATGGGCCTGTCATATCCATAACGAACAAGGATGAATTATATGGCATCATCGTATTAGTGTCTCGTATCTACGGGTGGTAGGCAGCTCGGACAGACACTGCATTATCGTATCAGGTTACCCATCTTCGTTACCAGCACTATGACTAAACCACTGTCATAGCAGGCTTCTTACCGACCATCATACGAAGGACAAAGAGGTGATGTGTAATGCACTTTCAGCTTATACCAATGGCGTTGGGTTCACGGTGCCAGTCATTATGTTGTCATAGGTGTTATGTTTCATCGGAGAAGAAAACAATATTGGATGACTGCGTGCCTGATACTATATAGTCATTGCTTACCATGATATTGCTCTTATTTCCGCATTGGTTTAATACTTCCAGTACTTTATGCCAAATTCGTCTTTCATTACACACACACATGGACACACTGAAATATGATTTTTTTTTTTAGTGGTATTCGACACTCTCCACTCTCCTTCACTCTTTGTTTTTTTTCTCCCCCTGCAGACCATCTCTCTTATAGTTTCTCACATTCACCATATGATTGCTTTTCTGAGCATAGACCTTTCTGTCTACATGATTATAGTCATGAAAGTGTTTGATACTAAAAATAACAATGATCAATACAGTCATGCTGATAATGATAATGCTGATGCTACTGCTGCTCATGATCATACTCATAAGAAGAAGAAGAAGAAGAAAAAAGGAGAAAAAAGAAAAGAAAAAGAGAATGGAAAAAGAAGGAAAAGAAGAAGAGAAGGGAAGAAGAAGGAAAAGAAGAAGAACAACAAACAAGAAGAAGCGCTTGTTTAATTATAATTTTTGTTAAAGCAAACGAAGAAGAAGACGAGACAAGAACGACGACAAAGAAGAAAATAATTTTCTTTCAAAAAACACAACATGAATAATAATACAGAAAGAGACGTAGAAGAATAAGAAGAAGAATAAAAAGTAGAAGGAGGAGTACGAATACAGATATAGAGAAATTGTAATCAAAGGGTATTTATATAGAGAATACTAGACTGTCATTATTCTACACTTAACGAGCCACCCTATCCGCTCTGGATATACTCATTATAATCATCCATGAATAGAATTGTTTTTAAACTTTCAGTTTCATTTTACAATGATGATATATGCTCCCATTAATTTTTCCAGACAGCAATTAAAGATGAGGGACAAGAGAATAAAAAAGAGAGCGAGGTTAAAAAAAAAGGATCCAAGAAAGCAGCAGCAGGGTCAGGAGTAGTACAAAAATGTAGAAAGAAAAAAAAGCGAAGGAGAGAGAGAGAGAGAGAGACAGACAGAGAGAGAGAAAGAAAGAGAGAGCGAGCACAATATCGAGAGTGCACAAAATCGCTGGGGAATCTAAGAAAGAAAAAAATGGCATTATAATTAAATAATGAATACTTCGGGGATTCTCTTGCCATGTCTACCTTTCTGACAATATCTTTCTATCTTTCCCCCTTACCTCTCCCTCTCTCTCTCTTTCTCTCTCTCTCTCTATATATATATATATCTCTCTCTCTCTCTTACTAAAACACACACACACACACACACAACCATACTCTCTTTATTTTTTAACTCTGCATCTCGCATACCAGTCCACTCTCCCTCTCCAGCCAAAAATAAAACTCAGTCACAACCATCACACCAAGAACACATAAAATCATACATAAATGAGTCATAACTCGATAAATATCTGGAATAGTTTCACGCCCTAACAATAGGGCAATTATTTATTTATTTTTTATTTGTTTTTGTTGTTTTCTTCTGTTCTTACATCACACACATCCATAAAGATCTGTTTAACCAATTGTGAAGATACAATTGTGAAGCAGTTGACACGACATGTAAGAAGTAAATATGACCATAGACAGTGAATAGTACACGAAGGATTTGCAGTACTATGACACAAAACGTTTAAAAGTTAAGAAATGGGATAACAAGACAGCGTTATCTTGAAGCCAATTATAAACGCATCCACAACAACATCAACTTGGTATATATAATGTTGTGCCTAGAACATTGCGTTCAATCATAGAGTCAACAGTACAATGATAGGGGTATAGTACAAGATATCTGTTGTCTAAAACAGTACTGGAACACAAGGTTAATTTTTATCAAGTTTACTAGTTATATGAACATTTTCTGTTTCATTTTTCATCTGGAATCCTAGCGCGAAATACTGATATGCATGTCTCATATTACCCTTTTAACGTTAAGTATCTGATTAAAACTATCGGCTTTCACTATGATTGATGTCATGTATACGGGCTGATCAGTTCTTCACAACAATACACAGTCCTCGGTTGAGATAGTTTGACTGGCCAGGTCGCGTGATTTTCCGGACCTAGATTCCGGTGTTGACACTAACAACGACTGTTTCATTTCCTGATGAAGTCAGCCAAAAAGCTAGACTTTTTTACAATAACACAGCGTGTATGCTCTCTATGTCACAGGATCTTTGGCAAGAGATGAACAATGGCAATGCATTTGAATCACAGTCAGTTGTGTCCATAATCAAATTTTCATTTTCAATTTCATTCACAAAGAAGAACTGTAATGACCATTGTGTTGTTAAAACTGCGTAGCCTGTGTTTGTCTACGGTTTGTTAAGTGAATCTTGATTCGTATTTTTTGTTGCAAAAAATGATCTATCTGCATGGGAGTTGACTTACATATTATGTCTTGTTGAAGGTTTTACTAAATTATTAAGTTTCATAATCATATATTTACTCCAGAGGAAGAAAACCGTCAATTACTCGACGATGAAAAGAACTGTAAATGCAATATTTCATTCAACCAGAAGCCACGCACATTGCAGTGCGCTTTGTAGGAGCCATACAGTTTGCTATATATTAACGATACTGCATTCATCAGTCGGCAGTCTTAATTCAACAATCAACCCTTCATTAGTATTACACAGACCCCCAAGTAATGAGATTACGTGGTGATGCAAACCCGTTGCTATAGTAACGGGCCCGTTAAATGGATGCGAGCTCTGCCGTGCGTGTAAGATGGAGCGCCGGCGAGAGCGAGTCAATAATAATGTTAATGAGCTTCGCTCGTACTCGCCCTACAAGCCCACACAACACAGCGTTCGCCTGCATAGCCATTACACGTCGCCACTGTTTTGTGCATAATGAATAAATACTACACTATATAATTTATCAGAAATAAAAGATATCCGAATGGTAAAACCCGTAATCTATGGCAAGAAAATGTATAAACAAAACCAAATCATTCGATTTTCTTCCTCCAAGAAGGAGATAAATAAATATCATTTGTGTTTTAAACTCTCAACTATTACTCAAACCGTTTCACTGTTTTTTTGAAAAGTTCCAACAAAGCAGCAGGGCCAGCAGCAAAGAACATTTTGATAAATTAATTGCAATCTTTGTCTATTTAGATGAAAGATATACAATCAGTCATGAATATTGCACAGTTATACAGATTGACCTTATGTGTTTGTGACCTTTTACAATAGTAATCCGCCGTCTACAATATGAATTTAGGAGAAATGATATATGCATCATCTTTCCTAGGGTACGGTTATAAGAAGAGCAAAAACGGGCTTATCTTCTAAAATGTTAAACAGAAAATGCTTCCCTTTCGTGAGTAACAAATCATATAAATGATATACAAATGAAACCAAGGGATTCCACAAGAACGAGGATTAATAACGAATATAACTTACACGAGTGAAAATAAAATCGCACAAAAGTTACAAATGGCAACTGCAAATCATTACAAAAATATTTCGTTGTTCTTTGGTGTAAAAAAAAAAGCAAAAGTCAAATTAATATAATAAAAAATGATCACATTCGAACAATATATCACACGACATTGCAGTTGGTTTACAACTCAGTAAGGAATGCATTGATTTCTTAATCTTGTTTTATAGATTCCGCTTATGCATCGATCGTTAAGTACATGTTCTTTCCCCACAAAAACCCTTTTGCAAAATAACCGCCTATGCCTCTATAGCTGCTCTACATTCCAGCTAAGCAATCTTAATGGAAATGCCATTTGGTTGTGAACGGAGGCCGCTCTATGCCTTCATTCTGCTTATGTGACGGCCCATGTCATGCAATAAGAACAGAGCAAGAGGCAGTGTTATTGGGTTACACGAGATGTTATGCCGATCGAGGCCTGCGGAGTGAAAGCGAGGCAAGCGATGAAAAACAGCCAGTCTTCTCCAAATCAAAGGAAGATATAGAGTGAGAGAGGGGGAAGGAGAGAGTGAAACAGAACGGTATTTGATATTCTACCAAAAGATTGCTGGCTGTCTGCTTATCCATCTTCAGGCGGAGCTGTTTTTTTTTTCTTTTCGCTTTCCCCCTAGGCAGCCACGCGCCTCGCTGAAAGACAGCCATATCGCATGTATGATATCAATATTCGGCATACCATCTCGTTAACCCACACCCAAACATACTTCTTATCTACTGTACAGTATCTCCTGTTTACAAGTGCAGCAAAACAAATGATAAATATGCCTTCTTTGTGGACTAGCATGACACACATATAGTTTCTTGAACAAGTAAAATCATCTCAGATATATACATAGTACAATCAAGTATTCAGCACGATATACAGATATAAAACCTTTTAAACATTTCATCAGGTAACGCGGTGACTGACTGAGCAATACATAATTATATTAAGATTCTTCAGAACGAATCAAGTATATATATAATCTTGTTCCACAGTTAAAAGGTGTGGCTCCCTTATAAGTTAGATTCTCAATATGGTTATAAAATGAAGACCAGTTTTTCAACTGGCCTTCTACTGTTTATGAAAAATGCACAATCCCATAACCATCGAAACAGTTATTCAACTTCTTGCAAAAGATTTAAGGTCCGCTAGAACGTCCGTGAAGTAGTTGGAATTCTGGTTTATTCTCAGCATCTTTGAGCTACAGCTGTTGATGATTTTGATACACCTGGACCAGAACCTGTCCTTGTCCTCTTCGACCAGGAATGGTTTGAGGGGATAGCTAATCTCATTGCCCATGTAGCTGTAGGAAAGGTAGAGGCAGGTCAGGACCATGGCTTGGAGTTCGGACTCATTCTTGACCACTGCATCACCACTGAGGAGGTCACGCACGAGCATGTAAACGAAGACGACGTTGGCGGGGTTGAGAAAGTTGATGTCCTGCCAGCCCTGGATGAGAAGGGATCGGTCAACAGCCCTCAGCCACATTATAGCATCATTGGCATCAAAGCTCTTCAGATAGGGACATCGCCTGCAGAGGAAGTTTCCAAGACATTTCAGCAGCTCACTGGTTGAGCACTGCAGGATCTTCTTAGGGTTGGTTTGAACACCGGATGAAGATCGCAGCCCATGGCTAGACACCTTTCGGAAGCCGTTCAGTCCATTTGTTGACGTTGTCGTCACTGTGGATCCAGAGACGTTGCTGATTTTGTGTTGCTTGTGTGATTGGTGGTGGCCATTCTGGGCGTTCGATGGACAGTGCGAATTAAGATTGAAACATGAAAACGACTTCTTGATGCTCGAATCCAACATTTTTGAGTCCTTTTTCTGAGGTGTGAGGATGGCCACGCTATCAGGATACTGCCTGTACACAGCATTGTTCGTGTTTTGATTAGAGTGATTCTTCGGTTTGAGCACGTTGTTATTCGCTTTATCTGATCCTGTCAGGGATTGTTTACTGCTGTTAAAGTTAGTGTCCAAAGAAGTTGTACTTACTCCAGTGCTGCTTGTTTTCTTCTTGGAGACGCTGAACATCTTCAGCCCCAGAGCACTAATAAAAAGGGCGGAATTGTGCTTTCGCATCGGCCGCTCACCAACCAGATGTATATTTTCCTTGGTGCTGGCTACATTCTTGCTGTTGTTGAGGTACAGTTCATTTAAGTTTCCTACACTGAGCGTAGTAGTGTCCGAATAGCCGCCATAATCGCCCCGATGAGGCTTTGGTGAGATCGACAAGACGGTACCCATGTTTGCAGGAGATATCTTAATGCTGAAAGGATTGCGAAGTTTTCTGCAACTGCAACTGCAGCCACAGACAGTAGATACCTCGGCTTGGAGTGGAGATAAAATCCCTCCAGATGTTGAACACAGCAACATATAATCTCGTCAGTCTTTGATGCACTTTACAGTGAGAGACAGCTTTTCAACAGAAACATTGAGGAATGTTGGCGATATTCACGGCTGTTTACGAAGAGAATCAACGAAACCGTGATATTTATCAGCAGCCGAAATGGCGTAGCACTAGTCGCTTTGACAATCAGATCGCAGACTGTTCCGTGAGCTGTACAATGCTGCCTTTTGACTGCCTGAGCGAGTGCGGAGCTGTGACGTCACGACGCCTCGCCCAGCGCTGACTAATGAGCGTGCTTGAAAGGACGGTAGCTGGGGAGAATGCGCATGCGTGTTTGTTTGGATGCATCTCATATCGAATTGTCTGAGTGATGTATGCATCTGGTGGTACGAGGATGGGAGCGGAGATTGGGTCGCGGTTTTGTGATACAGTCGCGTGCCATCCATGCGCCTGCCTCTTAAATGTCATCCTCACTGTGGCTTTTTTCCTCATCCTTCTCTCCCAGCTAGCCGCTCTCCCCATCTTTCTCATTCTCATTTTCTTTCTCTTTTCACTCCTTAAGTTTTGTTCTCTTCTTCTCTTCTGAGTTCTGTATTGTCCTGTGCTAATTTAAAGGTCTCTATGTATTGTTGAGTGTACACACATTGTTAATAGCAGACAGTGTTTTCAAATTTTCCTTACTTCTCTTTTGTAAAAATTCCTCAGTTGTTGTATTCGTTGAATTCACCACAGAAGCAATTTATTACTTAAATGAGTTAATTTTGTTCAGTTCTTTTATCCAGGATAATAGTGCTAATTGTATCAAATTCGTTCCCTTTTTTCCGAGAAGATGAACGATTACATGTTTTCATCAAGTTGAAAACTGCTTTTATAAATTGGAGTCTTCGGTTCTTGTTGCTTCATATCCCTACCATTCGTTCATACCATGGTAATTTGTTTTTATCATGCCATATCAAATTCCACATACAGGCGCATTGGAGTATCATTTATCATTTTTGTGTAGGTTTATGGTGATCTATTCAACTCAAATTATTTTCGAACATCAAAAAAATAATTCAAAGAACATTCGAGTGGAATACACATTTTTCTCAATGGGAATTTTATGGTGATTTTGCCCCCCCCCCCCATACGAAACAATTAAGAAAAAACAACATTATTCTCCATCAAAACTCTCTAAAGGGCTTTTCTAAAATGTTAAGATTTATATTAAAAAATACCAACAAAAACTTGTTTCACTCAGAAGAATTATACAGTACCGATAGGAAAGAGAGAGAGAGAGAGAGAGAGGGGAGAGAGAGAGAGAGAGAGAGAGAAATATAGAGAAAGAGTGAATTAGAGAGAGAGAGAGAGAGAGAGAGAGAGAGAGAGAGAGAGAGAAAGAGGAGAGAGAGAGAGGAAAGGGGATCAGGTTAGGACTAATGAGCCCTTAAAGTCGGGCTGATAATAACGTGCGTATAGATGATGACGTAATATGTGCAATTAATAGAATAAAGATGAGAAATTTCACTTAGTGATGAATAAATTACTGTAGACAGAGCAGAGAAGGGCACACGACATTGCTAAACCATGCAAGCAATTTCTTTGAACTCGTAATGTAATGATCAGTGACTTTATTGGTTTGTTTACAACATCATTAAATTTTAAGAGGGTATAATGCACAAATCGTGTCATCCATAAGCTGTTAAGAATTACCGCCGGTGATAATAGTTTCAATAAGCAAGGGCGAAATGTCAATGCAGTATATTGAATACGACATCTTTCAAAGACTTACAAGGAAACAAAACAAATTTCTGTAAGATTGCAATGACATAACAAATCCAACGTTTATGATCTTTAGCCAACAAGAGAGACGTTTTTCAAATGATTGTTATAGCCATAAAACCATTTATAACTTCAGTGTAGGCCATTATGGATCTATTTTTGTTTCTGTGTTTTATGCATAGTACATTCATTGTTGGAATTACTTAATGTTTTCAAAATAAAAGCCCTTTCCTTTCCTTTTTATTATTTGTTGAACTCCTCTATAAATTTTTCTTTTCTTTTATGTTTTTTTTTTACACAATCTATTCTTAAAGAGTAACGGAGGGAGTGGGTGGTACTGATGCTGAGTGATTAGATCTGGAAATTACTTAATTTTTTCACAATAAGAGCTCTTTCCTTTCATTTTTATTATTTGTTGAACTCCTCTATTAATTATTCTTTTATTTTCTGTTTTTTACACATCTTCTTTTAAAGAGTAACGGAGGGAGTGGGTGGTATTGATGCTGAATGGTTAGATCTGGATGAATACTATCACGAAGGCATATTTTACCTTTTGTGTTTTTGGCCAGTCTATGTTTTTTTTTTACCCCACGTATTTGTCTTTATCTCTCTTTCTTTTTCTGTATTCCTTTCTAAGTCTCTCTTTTTCTCCATCTCTGTCACTTTTTTTACCCTTTGCCGTATCTTTACTTTTCATTGATTTTCTTTCTATTGATTTTCTCTTTATGAACAATATAAAATTGTCGTATGGTCACGATTTCTAGAACTTGGTACCCTCTCTCCACACATTATGTCCTCTTGCTCTCCTCCTCTCTCTCTCTCTCTCTCTATCCCGTCATCTTCCTCTTCTCTCTCTCTCACTCTTAATATCAGCATTTTAGATTGATGTTGGCAAAATGAATACTGCATGCTAGTAAATCACTTCTCAGTTTGAAGGCGGCTGTCATAATAAAGACAAACCAACAGAAGGAGAATGTGTATAATAAAACGAGATCGTAATACAGAGAGATTGCCCGAGGGTTATGAAACACAAATCCCGCCTGGTGTACCGGTTTATGATTCAGTTATTGCCAGTCAAACTCATTTTAATCAGAAGAAAATGGCGTCGAAACGGAGTAGGCATTGTGCTATGTATCGTGTTTGTAATTTGTTTCGTAAAAAGGCATGTTTTAATGTCAAATAAATTAAATACAAGGGATGCACTTATGTATCACTAAAATAAAGTACCTAGAATGTGGTACTTTAAAATCATATTATCTTCTACTTTATGAGTAATTCCCATTAGGCATACCTATTGCAATTCTCTTTTCACCCCCTCTCCCCTCCCCCACACTCTCTCTCTCTCTCTCTCTCTCTCTCTCTCTCTCTCTCCATTCCTCTGTATATCTATATATCTTTGTATCTGTTTCTCTCTCTGTCTCTCTGTCTATTCTATCTAATACCACCTATCTATCTTTCCCCCACTCTCCTTGACCGTTTTTCAGTATGTTGTTGTTGTTATGTTTCACCTGCTAATGCCTATGTGTCTGTATCCATGACTACTGGCTAACCCCTTTCCTCTCTCTTTGCATCTATTCATCTTTCTATCCCCCTTTATCCCTATCGCTCTCAAATGGTACACTTAAAATAGCAAAATGACGTAAACCTATACATGTACAAGAATTCACAACACATCCTTTTGTTTATAGCATCTTATGGCACTGTACCTTTCATTATACTGTCATCCACTCTGCCCGTGTATTTTTCAGTCGGGTGGATTTGCTAGGGCAAGGTAAAACACGTAGCTCTACAGGCAAGGACAGGCATACAACGCAGGGTGCATTATGTATTAGGCGCCCCTTTTCATCTCATTACGTCTACGCATACTGTTAGCATCAGACGATGTGCAGAGTGTGTGCGCGCCTGTGTGTATGTGATGGAGATGAGCAAGCTCTGCACCGACGCGCCGTTCATAGGAAAATGGGTACTTGATAATACAAATCTTCTCTCTAATATTGAGTTGTGTTTTGACTGGACCATGATTATCTTTCTTTATTCTGACATTTCGTTTATATTTGCTCTCAGTCAAATAGTTGCCGTTTCTTGTAACAGTTTAGTGTTTTCTATGTCTTTATATTACGTCATTTGCCATATTGTACTTTATTTGTATTTTCATTATCATTATCTTTATTTATTTAAATACTTTAGCTGAGCTGGGTCATTTTCTTAGCACATCTATGTATGTTTCGGCTGGCCTTCCACTGCCTCTTCGCCCATATGATGGAGTCCATAACAGAAGTAATCGCCATATTTAACTCGAAAAAAGGAAAAACAGCGATGCAAGAGAAACTACTCGACTTTTAAAGAATACATGATATTCCTTAATGTGTATAATATCCTAAATAAAGTGCAGGTGTATCCTTATAAATTGACAGATCTCTAAAAAAATTAAACACAAATTCACGCGGATTCCAGATGTACGGGATACACACTAAAAAAGAATATTGCTTAACTTGAAATTGCTATTGATTCAAACATGAACCTGTAATTCATAGATCATGGAATTTTGGCCCAGCCCCAAGGAAAGTCATAAATATAAAGCGTAGAGTGGGTGCCGTATACAAACTAAAATCTAAGCATTTTTAAGCACGATTACATTGAACATGAACTAATGGACGGTTATGATTCCCTTCATAACAAAGGATTTTATTTAAATTTATATATTTGTGTGATGCAGCGATTTGTTTGTTTACTGTGACCTACACTGCTCACACGAAAGGTCCATATACCTTTTAAAAAACGATATTTTGAGACTCAAACAAACAAACATCTTATTTAACCTTTCTTCCAGATCCTTCTGTATCGGGCTTCTTATAGGAATATATATATCTGTAAAGCGCTTTGAGAGGGCCTTCGGTCCTGAAAAGCGTTATATAAGAACTAGCTATTATTCTTATTATTATACGAATAAAACATGTCTATTTACGTCTTCTTAATGAGCCATGGCTATAAGCTCTCTATTTCTGCTCATTTGCGTTGTTTTTCTCTTTCAAATCCGGTTGCAGGACGATTTCGCGTCCAAAAGATTTATCTAGAAGTTTTCCGGTCTTAGCAATTATCGTGTCTCTATTTTTCTTCAGTTTAATCGAATACTTTTCATATTCTATCTGCTCAATTCGTATTATTATAGTCTTACTATCTCTATCTTTCTTCAATTTCTTCTCATCTATTCATTAATTTTGTTCTCATTTGGAATTGCCACATCTGATCAATGCTAATTCTATCAATTGATATCAATCCATTTCGATGTGTTGATAATTACTGTTATAATTTCAACCCCGGTTGTGATAGTTTTGTTCGACAGATGGCGTAGTTTTGCCACAAACTTTAGGACTCTCACTTTACGCATTGTTTGAGGAGTTTCTTGCTTTAAGGCCCGGTCACACAGGGAGGACGCATGGGGAACGCACGGCCAGCGCATTGG